CAGTGTAGTGCGATAGGGGTAGGGCAGTTTAATGCGATAGGGGTAAGGCAGTGTAGTGCGATAGGGGTAGGGCAGTGTAGTGCGATAGGGGTAGGGCAGTGTAGTGCGATAGGGGTAAGGCAGTGTAGTGCGATAGGGGTAGGGCAGTGTAGTGCGATTGGGGTAAGGCAGTGTAGTGCGATAGGGGTAGGGCAGTGTAGTGCGATAGGGGTAGGGCAGTGTAGTGCGATAGGGGTATGGCAATGTAGTGGGATAGGGGTAGGGCAGTGTAGTGCGATAGGGGTAGGGCAGTGTAGAGCGATAGGGGTAGGGCAGTGTAGTGCGATAGGGGTAGGGCAGTGTAGTGCGATAGGGGTAGGGCAGTGTGGTGCGATAGGGGTAGGGCAGTGTAGTGCGATAGGGGTAGGGCAGTTTAATGCGATAGGGGTAAGGCAGTGTAGTGCGATAGGGGTAGGGCAGTGTAGTGCTATAGGGGTAGGGCAGTGTAGTGCGATAGTGGTAGGGCAGTGTAGTGCGATTGGGGTAGGGCAGTGTAGTGCGATAGGGGTAGGGCAGTGTAGTGCGATAGGGGTAGGGCAGTTTAATGCGATAGGGGTAGGGCAGTGTAGTGCGATAGGGGTAGGGCAGTGTAGCGCGATAGGGGTAGGGCAGTTTAGTGCGATAGGGGTAGGGCAGTGTAGCGCGATAGGGGTAGTGTAGTGCGATAGGGGTAGGGCAGTGTAGTGCGATAGGGGTAGGGCGATGTAGTGCGATAGGGGTAGGGCAGTGTAGTGCGATAGGGGTAGGGCAGTGTAGTGCGATAGGGGTAGGGCAGTGTAGTGCGATAGGGGTAGGGCAGTGTAGTGCGATAGGGGTAAGGCAGTGTAGTGCGATAGGGGTAGGGCAGTGTAGTGCGATAGGCGTAGGGCAGTGTAGTGCGATAGAGGTAAGGCAGTGTAGGGCGATAGGGGTAAGGCGTTCTAGTGGGATAGGGGTAGGGCATTGTAGTGCGATATGGGTAACCCGGGTAAGGCAGTGTAGTGCGATAGGGGTAGGGCAGTGTAGTGCGATATGGGTAGGCCAGTGTAGTGCGATAGGGGTAAGGCAGTGTAGTGCGATAGGGGTAGGGCAGTGTAGTGCGATAGGGGTAAGGCAGTATAGGGCGATAGGGGTAAGGCGTTGTAGTGCGATAGGGGTAGGGCAGTGTAGTGCGATAGGGGTAACCCGGGTAAGGCAGTGTAGTGCGATAGGGGTAGGGCGGTGTAGTGCGATAGGGGTAGGGCAGTGTAGTGCGATAGGGGTAAGGCAGTGTAGTGCGATAGGGGTAGGGCAGTGTAGTGCGATAGGGGTAAGGCAGTGTAGTACGATAGGGGTAGGGCAGTGTAGTGCGATAGGGGTAGGGCAGTGTGGTGCGATAGGGGTAGGGCAGTGTAGTGCGATAGGGGTAAGGCAGTGTAGTGCGATAGGGGTAGGGCAGTGTAGTGCGATAGGGGTAAGGCAGTGTAGTGCGATAGGGGTAGGGCAGTGTAGTGCGATTGGGGTAGGGCAGTGTAGTGCGATAGGGGTAGGGCAGTGTAGTGCGATAGTGGTAGGGCAGTTTAATTCGATAGGGGCAGGGCAGTGTAGCGCGATAGGGGTAGGGCAGTTTAGTGCGATAGGGGTAGGGCAGTGTAGTGCGATAGGGGTAGGGCAGTTTAATGCGATAGGGGTAGGGCAGTGTAGTGCGATAGGGGTAGGGCAGTGTAGTGCGATAGGGGTAGGGCAGTTTAGTGCGATAGGGGTAGGGCAGTGTAGTGCGATAGGGGTAGGGCAGTGTAGTGCGATAGGAGTAGGGCAGTTTAGTGCGATAGGGGTAGGGCAGTGTAGTGCGATAGGGGTAGGGCAGTTTAGTGCGATAGGGGTAGGGCAGTGAAGTGCGATAGGGGTAGGGCAGTGTAGTGCGATAGGGGTAGGGCAGTGTAGTGCGATAGGGGTAGGGCAGTTTAGTGCGATAGGGGTAGGGCAGTGTAGTGCGATAGGGGTAGGGCAGTGTAGTGCGATAGGGGTAGGGCAGTGTAGTGCGATAGAGGTAAGGCAGTGTAGGGCGATAGGGGTAAGGCGTTGTAGTGCGATAGGGGTAGGGCAGTGTAGTGCGAAAGGGGTAACCCGGGTAAGGCAGTGTAGTGCGATAGGGGTAGGGCAGTGTAGTGCGATATGGGTAGACCAGTGTAGTGCGATAGGGGTAAGGCAGTGTAGTGCGATAGGGGTAGGGCAGTGTAGTGCGATAGGGGTAAGGCAGTATAGGGCGATAGGGGTAAGGCGTTGTAGTGCGATAGGGGTAGGGCAGTGTAGTGCGATAGGGGTAACCCGGGTAAGGCAGTGTAGTGCGATAGGGGTAGGGCAGTTTAATGCGATAGGGGTAGGGCAGTGTAGTGCGATAGGGGTAGGGCAGTGTAGTGCGATAGGGGTAGGGCAGTTTAGTGCGATAGGGGTAGGGCAGTGTAGTGCGATAGGGGTAGGGCAGTGTAGTGCGATAGGGGTAGGGCAGTTTAGTGCGATAGGGGTAGGGCAGTGTAGTGCGATAGGGGTAGGGCAGTTTAGTGCGATAGGGGTAGGGCAGTGTAGTGCGATAGGGGTAGGGCAGTGTAGTGCGATAGGGGTAGGGCAGTGTAGTGCGATAGGGGTAGGGCAGTTTAGTGCGATAGGGGTAGGGCAGTGTAGTGCAATAGGGGTAGGGCAGTGTAGTGCGATAGGGGTAGGGCAGTGTAGTGCGATAGGGGTAACCCGGGTAAGGCAGTGTAGTGCGATAGGGGTAGGGCAGTGTAGTGCGATATGGGTAGACCAGTGTAGTGCGATATGGGTAAGGCAGTGTAGTGCGATAGGGGTAGGGCAGTGTAGTGCGATAGGGGTAAGGCAGTATAGGGCGATAGGGGTAAGGCGTTGTAGTGCGATAGGGGTAGGGCAGTGTAGTGCGATAGGGGTAACCCGGGTAAAGCAGTGTAGTGCGATAGGGGTAGGGCAGTGTAGTGCGATAGGGGTAGGGCAGTGTAGTGCGATAGGGGTAAGGCAGTGTAGTGCGATAGGGGTAAGGCAGTGTAGTGCGATAGGGGTAAGGCAGTGTAGTGCGATAGGGGTAAGGCAGTGTAGTGCGATAGGGGTAGGGCAGTGTAGTGCGATAGGGGTAAGGCAGTGTAGTGCGATAGGGGTAGGGCAGTGTAGTGCGATAGGGGTAAGGCAGTGTAGTGCGATAGGGGTAAGGCAGTGTGGTGCGATAGGGGTAGGGCAGTGTAGTGCGATAGGGGTAAGGCAGTGTGGTGCGATAGGGGTAGGGCAGTGTAGTGTGATAGGGGTAGGGCAGTGTAGTGCGATAGGGGTAGGGCAGTGTGGTGCGATAGGGGTAGGGCAGTGTAGTGCGATAGGGCCAGGGCAGTGTAGTGCGATAGGGGTAGGGCAGTGTACTGCGAGTGGATTTTCCCCAATTTCTTTTCCATTCATCTCGCCATGGGCGGGCAGTCAGCCGAAACGCTGAAGCTGCTCTGCCGTCTCCCCGGCATTGAGCAGACCATCCTAACCCAGTTGCAGACAATCACGGCACACGTCAGTGAGTCAAGAAACCGAGCAGCGCGTCTAAATCGGCGCATTGACGAGCTCGCAGCCCAAGTAAGAGTATTACAAAAAGAGATCTGAGCCCATTGATGGAGCCTGGGACACCATGATTGGCGACGACCCAAACGTATCATGTGACCTTTCTGACAATGCGGATCACTGAGGGTGTGTTATCTAATTGCCTAGAAATCTATACTGGAAGACCAGTAAGGTTAAGTTGTTAACGAACATTTAATTGTAACGAGTTAATGAATTTGAAAAAAAACTTTACTAGTAAAACATTTGAAGTCGTTATGTGCAAAACGATATGCACATGTACAGTCATTTGCCGGTTTTGAAACAGAATTCGTTAGAGTTTCACCTCGCTAACCCACAAAAATCCGGAGAAATTTCTCAAAAATCTCAAACCAAATTTGAATTTTAAAACAACAATCAACAAGACAAGTTGATTGGACATGTGTATACAGTCAACTTTGCTAATAACGACTGCGGATATAGCGACAATTCGCGAATAACGACAGAATTTCCATGGCCAGAGCAAAGTCCCATCTAACTGTATACAGGGATGAATTTGTTGTCATATTTTTGCAAAGCAGTTTCTGCTGATTTGATTAGCATTTTTTCTTTGAAGGTTGGGTGTTACCCACATTGTTGACTGTAGCTTGTTAATTTGTGTAGCAAATTTGAATTATTCGAAAACGTTTGGAGTCTCAAGGGCGTCGGACACGCTACGGTCACTACGGTATTGACCGTACCACTTTTTACCCCAAGTACCCCGTGAATCTATAAAACACACTGACCTGGGCTCTAAATTTCCAAACTTTTCGGCTCAGCCACCACTCCCCCACGAGTAAATTGTACTTCAGATGGCTGACCGTACCGCACTTAAATACCTTCCGATGCCCCTGAGTCTATACATGTACTTTTGAAACGCACTATAAAATCGGTGCCGCGCTCGAGCATGAAAGTCAGGGGTCGGATTTCAGTTGCCATCACTGTACAGTGAAATCTGGTTTAAGAGACCACCTCACGGTACCACGGTGCAAGCACCCCCCCACGGTACCAGGGTGCAAGCACCACCCCACGGTACCACGGTGCAAGCACCACCCCACGGTACCACGGTGCAAGCACCCCACGGTACCACGGTGCAAGGACCACCCCACGGTACCACGGTGCAAGCACCACCCCACGGTACCACGGTGCAAGCACCACCCCACGGTACCACGGTGCAAGCACCACCTCACGGTACCACGGTGCAAGCAAAAGCGGTCGTCAAAGCCAGGTGGTCTTTAGAACCAGGTCCAACAGGTTCAGTGTAGAGCTGTCCGTGCAGGTGGTCGCTAAAACCAGAGGTCGCTTACACCAGTTGCAATCACTGTACATGTAGTACAAGTAGTTATTACTGCGTCTTGTTGTTCTCTTGTGTACGGACACAGGATGGTGGTGATGATGGTGGTGATGATTGATCAACACTGGATCGCGGCGAGAATCTGTTCTGTCTGTCTCTCTCTTCCTGTCTGTCTGCTTGTTCGTCTTTCTTTCCATTTTTCTGCTTCACCTCAGACTCTAGACTGAGCTCTCTCCCTCACTTTCTCTCACTCTCGCTTGCTCTCGCTCTCACCCAGTCTCTCGCTCCCACTCACTCATTACGTCGCGATATTCTTCATTTGCCTGCTGCATTCGCTATCGTAAGCACTACTTCCTTTGAATATGCCTTTCTTCTTCTTCTTGGTCTTGGTATTTTAATTGCCACATGACGCGCTAGAGACTGCTTTCCCTTAGCTTCGACTTTGCTCCTTTTATTGGTACATGATCACAAAGTATTTTTTCACTCCTCGGTAGTGCAGCACCGTGGGCGCCGCGTGCTCAGGCAAAGTGGCACGGAACCAGAATGCTGGATTTCCCCGCGCGTGCCCTTCGCTCCATGCACAGTACCTGACCCATGTGTAGAGTCTAGATAGATTGTCTGAGTTGTGTTGCATTGTCATTCAATTTCTTTTTATTCTCAAAAACATGTATCTCTACATTCTATCTCTGTGACTTAGAACCTCGCTTTAGGTCTGTATTTGACTATTTGAGCTTAGACACTGCTGGAAAAGCAGTGCACTAGTCTGACGTCATCATGTCGAATAGCGGAACATGTTGTAAAAATTCTTTTCCGGTTGAACCGGTATACTCATAGAATTATCAGCTTCTGCGCGGCCTCATTTCTGCCTATCCTTTTTCACTTTGGCTGCCCTTTTTCACTTTTTTGCAATGCTTTTTCAAATGGCAACTTCTTTAATTTTTCTAAGGAAGTGCAATTTTCACAGCAGCCATTTTCACAAATAATTGCTGTTGCCGGTTGAACCGGTATGCGTAATCACATTCTGCTCGTCTTATATTCCTGCATTTGCTTTTCATTTTTACTGTCTCTTTGCCTTCGTACTTCTATTTTCAAAGCACCTTTTTATTTCATTTTTCAAGGCACCGCAATTTCCGAAGCAGCCATTTATATAAATGATTTCTACTTTCCTAAAGCACTGCCACATGGTATCTTCAAACTGCAAATCTCTCACCCTAGATTCATTCACCTTGGGGAAAGGAGGGGATGTGACTCTCTCGTTTTCACGTGGACATTGAGATTGTTACAGTGGCCTGCATGTACCGTTCTTTTGCGCACGACACGCAGTGACCTGGTTGAGAGGGTGTGTGTACAGCATGGTGATTAGTGACCCGGTTGAGAGGGTGTGTGTACAGCATGGTGATTAGTGACCCGGTTGAGAGGGTGTGTGTACAGCATGGTGATTAGTGACCCGGTTGAGAGGGTGTGTGTACAGCATGGTGATTAGTGACCCGGTTGAGAGGGTGTGTGTACAGCATGGTGATTAGTGACCCGGTTGAGAGGGTGTGTGTACAGCATGGTGATTAGTGACCCGGTTGAGAGGGTGTGTGTACAGCATGGTGATTAGTGACCTGGTTGAGAGGGTGTGTGTACAGCATGGTGATTAGTGACTTGGTTGAGAGGGTGTGTGTACAGCATGGTGATTAGTGACCCGGTTGAGAGGGTGTGTGTACAGCATGGTGATTAGTGACCCGGTTGAGAGGGTGTGTGTACAGCATGGTGATTAGTGACCCGGTTGAGAGGGTGTGTGTACAGCATGGTGATTAGTGACCTGGTTGAGAGGGTGTGTGTACAGCATGGTGATTAGTGACCTGGTTGAGAGGGTGTGTGCACAGCATGGTGATTAGTGACCCAGTTGAGAGGGTGTGTATACAGCATGGTGATTAGTGACCCGGTTGAGAGGGTGTGTGTACAGCATGGTGATTAGTGACCTGGTTGAGAGGGTGTGTGTACAGCATGGTGATTAGTGACCTGGTTGAGAGGGTGTGTGTAGAGCATGGTGATTAGTGACCCGGTTGAGAGGGTGTGTGTACAGCATGGTGATTAGTGACCCGGTTGAGAGGGTGTGTGTACAGCATGGTGATTAGTGACCCGGTTGAGAGGGTGTGTGTACAGCATGGTGATTAGTGACCTGGTTGAGAGGGTGTGTGTACAGCATGGTGATTAGTGACCTGGTTGAGAGGGTGTGTGTACAGCATGGTGATTAGTGACCCGGTTGAGAGGGTGTGTGTAGAGCATGGTGATTAGTGACCTGGTTGAGAGGGTGTGTGTACAGCATGGTGATTAGTGACCCGGTTGAGAGGGTGTGTGTGCAGCATAGTGATTAGTGACCCGGTTGAGAGGGTGTGTGTAGAGCATGGTGATTAGTGACCCGGTTGAGAGGGTGTGTGTACAGCATGGTGATTAGTGACCTGGTTGAGAGGGTGTGTGTACAGCATAGTGATTAGTGACCCGGTTGAGAGGGTGTGTGTGCAGCATGGTGATTAGTGACCCGGTTGAGAGGGTGTGTGTACAGCATGGTGATTAGTGACCCGGTTGAGAGGGTGTGTGTACAGCATGGTGATTAGTGACCCGGTTGAGAGGGTGTGTGTGTAGAGCATGGTGATTAGTGACCCGGTTGAGACGGTGTGTGTACAGCATGGTGATTAGTGACCCGGTTGAGAGGGTGTGTGTACAGCATGGTGATTAGTGACCCGGATGAGAGGGTTTGTGTACCGCATGCCATGGTGATTAGCAGAGAGCTCTACGCACACAGTATGACTATGCCCAGGCTAGGGCCGGCTCCCTGGTTTGGACGGATCTTCGTGCACGCTTGGCAACATAATCATTACTTTCGTTACTCGAACCCTGACGGTCCAAATCTTACGAATTAATTATTTTCGTTGTTTGCAGCCGCCCCCCCCCCCCCCCCCCCGGCTACTCGCTCCTGCTTTCCATAACCATGATCACCCGAGCCTCCGAGGATAGCGCGGCGCTAGCTGGCTATGATTCAATAATTAGCGGTAACAATGAAAATAATCATGATAATTCGTATGTGAATCTACTCGTTGATCAACTGCCTAGCTGGACCGACGTCCGTGTGTAGGCAATCTGGTTAGTGCAGTCAGCGTCAAGCTGCTGCAGCGAGAGGAGGTACTGGACCAGTGGTGTGACCGCGGCTAGAGCGGGTATCGATATCCCTGGCCGGGAGTACCGCGTGCATAGGGCGCTACGAACCGTTCTGTACGTCGACATCGCTGGCTGCGCACACGGCAAGCACGCATAGAAGAAGGTGAGACGGTGGGAACCAGGGAACCAGGGAGTGCTAAAGGGAGTGCTGAAGGGAGTGCTAAAGGGAGTGCAGTAGTGCTAAACTGAAAATTTTCTAGTACTACATGTTGTAGTCCCTGGCGGCTGGCGGTGTGAACGTGGTGAACAATCCTGGAAAAATTTATTGCATGACGTGTGGGACAGAAATCACAGCATGTGCACAGAAGTCTGCCTGCCTATTCTGCATAGAACCTGTGTGATGCGGACACCTCCTTTGTCAGGATGCCTCCGGGCTTCACTGGCCAGGGTGCGTTGCTAGCAGGTGCCCCGGCAGTCAAATATTGCATCTGTCTTCCTTCCTGTGCCGATCAACTAAACGTCAAGTACAATTGTGGCCGCGAAGAAATCCTATCCATGAGTCAAAAGTCAGCGCCGCGTTGCCATTTCTACTTTTTCATGCACAGTCCGAAAAAAACAACAACGACAACATCCGAGGACCGCAGGGGACGCATGAGCCATGGCGCTGCTTTCGGCGTGTGGGGCGGATTTTTTGGCCAAGACTGTACTTCGCCACATATAACTTTAAAAAAAAATGGTAAACTAAAAAAGGTGGCAGCTCTCAGCTCATGTAGTTATTGAGCGACATCATCGATCTTGGTTCAACTGTACGCCGTGGTGTACGTTTAGATCTACGCACGGTCGCTGCATTGCGAACTGCCGGCAGTTTCTACGGCTACCATGCAGGGGCGTCGTGCAGGCTGCGGTAACTACGGTATTGACCGCACCACTCTTTGTCCCGGGTTTTACCCTGTGAATCAATAAACTAGGCATCGATGTTGGCTCTACATGTACATATCGAAAAATGTCAAAGATGCCACCCCCCCCCCCCCCCCACACACACACACACATACACACACACACACATACACACACACACACACACACACACACACATACACGTAAAATTCAATTGTACGTCAGATGGCTGACCGTACCACCCCAGAACACCTTCCGACACCTGCGGTGCCATGCCCGGAGTTGCCATGGTTGCTGTGCTCAGAAGGGCAGTACCCATGGCAACTGAAGAGCGCACGGCACCGCGTGCTGGATTGAGCCTACACCTACATGTTCATGTACAGCAGCACAGTTGATAGAGACGAGTTTGTTATTGTGCTCAGAATCACGTGCTAAGCGATCATCAGGTCACGTCGTTCTCTGCATTGACGGTAGATTATCCAGGGCGTCACGGGGCAGTGTGTGTGTGTGTGGGGGGGGGGGGGGTGGTATAATCGGGCGGAAGAATTGGAATTTTCGGCCAACAGGGCAGGCACGTTGTTTTAGCGCTCTACAGGCGTTCTGGTCTGACTATCCTGGACGAAAAGTAGTATGATCATGGTCATACTGGTCGCACCGTGTTTGGCACCCTGGTTTTCTCTAGACCCAGGTATATGAGCCGTGACTGGTTTGAATAATGTAGATTTTTAAGTCTTTGAAGCAAATCACACGTACACATATTAGCTACACACACACACACACACACACACACACACACACACACACACACACACACACACACACACACACACACACACACACACACACACACTATGTCCAGTGGGATTCGCGTCTACTCCGAATTTTTGCTCTCTACAATCATTGGGAGACACCGGAACTTGTGTGTGTGTGGGGGGGGGGGGGAGCTCTGGAGTGCTCATCTGCCAACACTCATATTGAGCACTCTAACATGTCTTCAAGGATCATTCTGTGTGTGTGTGTGTGTGTATGTGTGTGTGTGTACGTGTGTACACGTGTGTGTGTGTGCATGTGTACACGTGCGTGTATCTGTCAAAAAGGAGGTTTGTGTACGTGTGTATGTGTGTATATGTGCATGCATGCGTGTGTGCATGTGCCCATCGTGTTTGTACTCAGCAGCTGCAACGATGCCGACTACGTACAATCCGTGGAAAGACGCAGACTTTCTCAAACTGAAGCCAGATCTGGCGGAGAAGATGGACAATCGGACCATGAGAGTCCTGTGCGGATCCGAGCTCTTGATCTCCAGTTCAGATGAGAAGAAGCTCCTTGCAACAGGAGATGAAATAGAACACAACGACCTACTTCTCGACCTGCTGCAGAAGGGGGATGCTGACTCGTTTAGGATATTTGATCGCATGCTACGATCAGACCGCATTGTTAAGTTCAACTTCTCCGAAATCTATCCACGTCTTGACGTTATTCTAGAACGTAAGTGCACTTTCTTAGCGAGTACGCGCGTAACAACATGCAAACCTAGAATTGGCGTGTGCGTGTGTCCATGTGCCATGCATCGTTTGCTCGTTTCCGTGAGACTGCGCAGGGGCGTCGGCAGGTATTTTAGTGTGCTATGGTCAGCAATCTGAAGTACAATTTACTTGTGGGGGAGGAGGGGTGGCTGAGCCTGACAAAAATGGAAAAAATAGATCCCAGATCAGAGTATTTTATTGATTCACGAGGTACCTGGGGCAAACAGTGGTACAGTCAATACCGAAGTGACAGTACCGTGTGCGTGAGGCTGCAGCAGCGCATGACAAGATTTTTCCTCCACGGCATGTGTGCTCGTACGCGTGCAGTCAGACAAATCCATGTACAGTCGACTCCGGATAATTATAATGAACGACGTCATGCGGGTGACTCAGTGGATTGACTCAGTGGATTAACTCAGTGGATTGACTCAGTGGATTAACTCAGTGGATTAACTCACTACCGTCTTTCTGACATTGCCACTCGAACTTGACAATAGAAGCTGCATTTCGTATGTGCAGTTACATTGAGCCATGGTGTTTTTGTCTTATGTTTGTGAATCCTTCCCGGAAGCAAATGCTGGTTTTTATGCATTCGTGTAATTACTCAGCGTTA